GATGTATCTAGTCGAATCGCCATGGAGTCAAAGTCTTGCACCAGTCCTTCGGTATACGAATGACTCCATGGGATGGCTGTCGGGGTAAAAGTCCATACGAATGAATAAAACTCCCGAACGACCGACGTTCGCATGCCTTGTCGAAAAGGAAGGTAGGCAGCAGCTTTTCAGCGGTGTTCGGTAGTTTAAGTGTCCGTTTTTAGTTCCATACAGTTTGTACCGAACACCGCTCTGTGTTCGTATGTCCCAAAATGGCCGCTGCCTCGTGGTCGACATGCGAACGACGACCACCCATACGAATGGAATGGAGAGGTGTCTGCGGTTAACCGCAACGTTCTAATTGGGGCCAAGAGGTTAACCAGCAGTTAATTAAAGGAACACTATACATGTATTCCTGACCTTACATTGTTAAAAACCACCATCTAGTCCTTCCCCCCCTTGCCTCCCTAAAAATAGTAAAATCTTGAAGTCTGCAGCCTCTGCTTCTGCCCCTGATCTGCCTGCTTGGCTGACTTTATCAAAAGTGAATCTATGAGCCAGTCACAAAGCTTTTCCAGAGGATTGGCTGAGACTGTCAAGGAGGCAGATCAGGGGCAGAGCCAGCACAAGCCAAAGACAGCCCTGGCCAATCAGCATCTATTTTTTACAAATGGCATACCATGATAATAATAATAATAACATAGTATTTAATCAGGAAAGGTACATTCAGATTAATCTGGTTTTCAAATACGTCCTGGGGATTTTAACTTAGCCCAACATCCAGGGGTTGTTACTATTACCCAACTTAATGGTAATTCTAATTCCTGGGCTGCTATATCGTCTCAAAGGCAACATAACCAATGTGGCAAATTTCAATGTATAAAAATTGTAATGGACAAGCATTATATTTTACCCCGTAACTTTACACCATAAAACTTGGACATGGGGATTCTGTTGTACTTATGAGATATACACAAATATGAGTGTTTTAGAGCAGTAAAACGTATAATGCTGATGATATCATTGGCGAAAAGGCAGTTTTTTTGTAAAAAAAAAATATGAATGATAACTTTTGCCAGGGTTTGTGACTAAGTGGCTACTAAAAAATACTGGACATACACCATTTTGAATACCCTATATCAGGGCCGGACTGGGAAAAAAATTAGGCCCGGGCATTTTTCAATTAGAGTGGGCCCCCAAGAAGGGGGCGGGGCCAGAGAGGGTATGTTTTGTCATCACTAATGACAAGCACACCCCCTCTGAAAGTGAGCATGTTGGTTCAATGCCCAGAGCCCTGCTGAAGAGCTCTGGCATTAGAAAAAAGCCCTGTATTTGTTCTGCCCAGCGCAAGCAAATGTAATAACATGCTTGCACTGTGTTTGCTTTTAAATTGTCTCTGGTGTCTCCACAAGTGGGATACCAGAGGACAAAAGGGCCAGGAAAGTATATGGTGCATGTGTTTGGAGCCTGCTTGTGGGATTGCCTGTGTGTAGAGTGTGGTGTGGTATTGTGTAAATAGGTCGATTTTGTGGTGTAATATGTGTGGCTAGGGGCTGTAGAGAGTGCGTGTATAGGGGCATAGTGTTATAGGGGATGTAGCGAGTGTGTGCATACGGGCAGTAGTGTGTGTGTATAGGTGACGTAGTGTGTGTGTAGGGGTTGTAGAGAGGGTGTGTTTAGAGAATGTTGTATGTGTTTGCTTACAAGGAATGTAGTGTGTGTGTAGGTGGTGCACTGTGTGTGTGTAAGAGATCTAGTGTGTAAAGGACCCAGAGTGTGTATAGAAGATTGTGTGTTTGTTTGTGTGTGTGTATGTGTGTAGAGGATTAAGAGTGCATATGGGGTAAGGGATCTAGCGTGTATCTGGAGCGTAATGTGTGTAGTGGTGCAGTGTGAGGGGTGCTGTAGTGTGTGTGTATATATATATATATATATATATTTGGACGTATTGTATGTGTGAGGTGCGCAGTGTGTTTGTGTAAGAGGGGTGCTGTGTGTGAGGGTGTTTGTATCTGCCGTCACATTCTAGGTTTCTAATTTTCTTTGTCTGTTAACTCACTGAGGGTTATTTTATATAATATATATAATATATATATATATATGTATATGTATATGTGTCTCTGGGTGTGCTGTGTGTGTCTGGGGGTGCTGTGTGTGTATCTGGGGGTGCTGTTTGTGTATCTGGGGTGCTGTGTGTGTGTCTGGGGGTGCTGTGTGTGTGTCTGGGGGTGCTGTGTGTGTATCTGGGGTGCTGTGTGTGTGTCTGGGGGTGCTGTGTGTGTGTCTGGGGGTGCTGTGTGTGTGTGCTGGAGGTGCTGTGTGTATCTAAAGTGCTGTGTGTGTCTGGGGGTGCTGTGTGTGTCTGGGGTGCTGTGTGTATCTGAGGTGCTGTGTGTGTGTCTGGGGTGCTGTGTGTGTTTGGGGTGCTGTGTGTATCTGAGGTGCTGTGTGTGTGTCTGGGGGTGCTGTGTGTGTGTCTGGGGTGCTGTGTGTGTGTGTGTCTGGGGGTGCTGTGTGTGTGTGTGTCTGGGGTGCTGTGTGTGTGTGTCTGGGGGTGCTGTGTGTGTGTGTGTGTGTCCGGGGGTGCTGTGTGTGTGTGTGTCCGGGGTGCTGTGTGTGTGTGTGTCTGGGGGTGCTGTGTGTGTGTGTCTGGGGGTGCTGTGTGTGTGTGTGTCTGGGGTGCTGTGTGTGTGTGTCCGGGTTGCTGTGTGTGTGTGTGTGTCCGGGTGCTGTGTGTGTGTGTGTCCGGGGTGCTGTGTGTGTGTGTGTCCGGGGTGCTGTGTGTGTGTCCGGGGTGCTGTGTGTGTGTGTGTCTGTGTGTGTGTCTGGGGGTGCTGTGTGTGTGTGTGCTGTGTGTGTGTGTGTCTGTGGGTGCTGTGTGTGTGTGTGTCTGGGGTGCTGTGTGTGTGTGTCCGGGGGTGCTGTGTGTGTGTGTGTCTGGGGGTGCTGTGTGGGAGGGGGCTGTGTGTGTCTGGGGGTGCTGTTTGGGAATTAATTTTAAATATATATATATTTTTTATTAATATTTTTTTTTTTTAAAGTTATGTCCACCCCCCCTCCCTTCTTACCTTTATCCTGGGAGGAGGGGGGGGGAGAGGAGGAGATCCGTTCTGCCTGGGAGGGGGAGCCATGCTGCCTTCCCTGGTGGTCCAGTGGTGAGAGTGAACTCTAACCTCTGGGTTAGAGTTCACTCTCGCGGGATCTGAGCGTTGCCGCGGCAACGCTCAGAATCCCGCGAGAGGACCGGCGGAGCTGCTTGTTAGAGCTCCGCCGGGTCCTCCCTCCCTCCCTCACCCAGCCGGCGGCCGCATCTCCGTGCCTGTGGGCCGGTCAGGGGGATCGTTGATCTCCCCACCGGCCCATGGAGGCACACAGCGGGGCCGGTGCTCGGGTAGCGCTGGCCCTGCAGGGGCTGGCAGGGGAGATTCTGTGATCTCCCCTGCGGGCCTCGGCCCCACGGCCATCGCGGCCCTCCGGGCATTTGCCCGGTATGCCCGATGGCCAGTCCGGGCCTGCCCTATATGATATGAGATAGCAATGACGCACAACAATAACTTCTAAATTTGCTTTATAGGGACACTGTAGGCACCCAGACCGCTTCAGCTCATTGAAATGGTCTGGGTACAGTGTCCATATTGCCCTTAGTGCTACAATTTTAAATATTGTAGTTCCAGAGAAACTGCAGTGTTTACATTGCAGCACTAAGTCGGCCTCTAGTGGCTGTCTACCGGACAGCCACTAGAGGGCTTCCTGCTTTGAAACGGACCTCTGGTCTGGTATCTGACGCTGGATGTACTCACACTCTGCACGAGGACCTCCAGCTTGAGATTTTTCTGGGGTGATATAATGGGGAGGTCTAATGCGTGTGCGGCATTTGTCTCAGATGCACATTAAAGCCCACTCGTCGCTGGATGGAGTAGGAGCTTCAACACAGCACCGATAAACATTGGCGCTGGAATCAGGTAAGTAAACAAAGGTTTTTTTTTTTTTTTTCAATTTGTGTTTTATTGGAGTTTGTACGTATACATACATCTTTACCATTATATGAAAATAGTAAACAGGTATAGAAATAGTCAACAAACAGGAGTATGGAGTCATAGACATGCAAGAAGCATTACAGTTAAAATATTATCTGTACCTAACACACTTCTGCTTATCTCAGGCATTAATTGGGAGTGGGAGTGTGGAAACAGGACAAAGTGCCAAATACCCAGCTGGAAATTCTTGCTACTGGGCAGGGATCACTGAAGATTGGCAGCACCCCCTGTTGATTCAGTGGGTGGCTGTGGGTTATTTCCTCTAGAGCTTCCCTCCTTCTTTTCGGGTTTTCCCCTGGCTGGAGTCTCAGTGGACACTGAGTAATACTCTCGAAAAATTATTTGGAACTCAACCACAGGTGAAAAAACAAATTGGAAATTGTCACTTTAAGAAAATATATTTTATTTAAATAAAGAACTTTAACCTTGGCAGTCTTCTGCAGCAATATTGTTTTCAAATAATAATGCATGAAGAATGGGAATCTTGGTTAAGTATAACTTCACAAGAAAAACAGTAATTGGTTGTAAATGAAATAAGGAATGCTTAATTAGCAACAAGTAGTACAGTCTATTAAACTTCACTATAGAGTTGACAGAGCAGGTGATCCCTGTTGTACAAAGTGACAGTCTTTTAACTTGAAGAAATAAACTTGGTAGCGAAATATGTCCTGGTATACAAAGTGGTTGTAGTTATTAGACTTAAATAATAATAATTAATATTTAAGTAATTTGTCAAATGACATTCAAAAGAGATTGCAAGCAGAATCCCAGAAGGCAGACTTTACTATTCCGTATCCTTCTCATAGAACTTAAGGTGAGAACCAATTAATAATTGCAATCCCTGGAGAATGTATCTCTCTTTTCACCTAAGGTCCTTCCCCCTGCCCCCACCCCTGAGCGGTGGGTGGGGGCCCTAAATACTAATAAGGGAGGGGACCTAATGTGCTTTCTGCATTTGCCTGACTGTCTCTCTCACCTCCACAGCCTTGATCTTCTGGTGGATGACTCCAATCTCGGCTTGGGCCTCCATGAGGTCGGCCTTCCAGAATTCCCTCATGTCTATCAGGAGCCTTTTAATGTCACCCCTGGTGGATGGAGTCAAGTCTTCATCCGAGTCCAAGGGCTGGCTCCTCCGAGGATTCCGGGTCACTCTGTGCCTCAGGCGCCATATTGGAAGTTGCTGGCGGTGCGGTCATCTCAAAGTAAAGTAGATTATTTGGTGTATACCACACTTATTCTGCCTTTAGCAGATTTAAAGACGTATACACAATACATATTGCTATATCACTTTTCCACAATATCTGAACTTCTTGTTTGTACCTTATTTGGCACAACTATACATATACTCCTAACAAACAGCCATTTGTGGGTGAAACAGCTCCTGGATATATTACACCGAATTAAGGTGCTACCCCCTCGTACTATACTACTTTAGACAGGTATTGGGTGAACTCCTGTCTTTGTCCAGTTTTGAGCAATCCACCACAAGTCACAAGACTCCCTAATCCCTGCGTGTTGCATTAGGCATACCTGAATCTACATATCTCGAAGTAAAGCCTAATATCATGCAGACAGAGACTATCTGTGGGGTGGTGCTTTTTATTTTTGCGCTCCATTGTGTCATCTGTGGGGGGTTGAGATGATTGTGGTCTCAGGCTGGACACTTTCGCAACCTTAGTCGTTTTATTGTGGGGTCGCATCAGAGCCTCACAAAAAGAAATCTGGTTGAGTGCTCGGCTGGCCACGCCCCCGATAAAGGAATTTTTAACCCTTTATTCACTGGGGAGGAAGGGTGCGCGAGAGAGGAGGGAGGCAGGGGAATTGTTTTAATCAGTTGGGAGTTTTATCATGTGTTACTCTTAGCACAACTACCTTGAAATACATAAAAAATAACTAAATGTTATGTATGTGTGTGTGTCTATATATATATCTTAAATCTTAAATTTGAAATTCACTTTGAATTACTGACAATATTCAGCTTGGATAACTCTGTGTGTCTTACTACCACGCAATTTAATTTAAAAATATGTATACTTTTGTTGGATATATTATAATTTTAAGACTGTTTACGTTGTTTGTTGTATTTTTTTTCATGTGCTGTCTTGCTGTCTGTCTCATAAACTCATTTTTTGAATTCCTTACAGGAAATACAGTTTATATATACATTTATATATATACATACATTTAACATTGGCGCAATCAACATTTTAATTGATAATGTGATTGGAATATTACTGGAGTAATTTGATTTGAAAAACAAAATGCTAGACACATACATATGTGGACGAAGAATTGAGTAAAAGACCATATAGACAGCTAGATTTTGATTTTACACTGTGTCCATATGTGAATCAGTAATTTCTTGGGGAAATGCTGAAGCACATCTTGATAAAATTGTGTTTTATAACCATCTCCTGCACATGTTGCAAAGCACTTTTCTTCCTTCAGTGTGATTTAAATAAGCTGGGAATAGCAGGAAATTGTTGGCTACAAAACTCTACTTTATACTGAAGACTTCATCTGACTGGACGTGGCTGCATTCACAATGGCTCAATCTAGGTAGTATTATGGGTTCTTAGCAGGAAAGGAAGTTGCTGAAACACAAAGAGGAAAAAAAATATGTTATTCCTAGTTCTCTCATAGACTCCAAATAACAGTTTCTACCCCGGATACCTATAAAACACCGATATCTATAGAAAAGAAAAGTAAAATAGCGGAAATATCTGTATATTAGTCTGCATTATGTAGATAGCATATTAGCTATAAATGCATTATATGCATTATATATATTATATATATAATACTTTTTTCATTCTGTTTATCTACTATGCTTTTTTGCACATGTGTATGTCTGTAAATTACTCACTAAAAATACATTAGAAAAAAAAAAGATTCATCTTCGTATGCCCCCTTTAGTCAGGTTTTCTTGGGAATCATTCATAAAGCAATCCCTGCTTCACATTTTTTTTTATTAATGGACGTTAATGGATGTAAGCAAGTGTACCGATTGCACTACAATGTTCACTCATTTACAGCTCAGTCAAGATTGACGTTTTATTCACAGAAAAAAAGAAAAGAAAATGAAATGAAAGAGAATGAAAAGCCGCTTGAATTATAGCATTTTCTAAAAGAAATTATACTGTATTGCTTATAAGGAATTCAGAAAAGGAGTTTATGGGACAGCCAGCAAGACAATGCAGAATGAAAACACAATAAACAATGTGAACCATTTTAAAACAAAAATATATGCAACAAAATGATATCAAATATTAAATTTGCTAATAAGATGCACCCGGTTATTGAGAATAGCAGGGAATTCAAAGTGAATTTCAAATTTTAGGTCAAATTAGTTTAGCTGGAAGCATAGCGACTTGGAGAATATTTCATGTTTTTACCTACTTTGATCTAAAATTTGAAATTCACTTTGAATTTCTGACAATATTCAGCTTGGATAACTCTGTGTGTCTTACTACCACGCAATTTCATTTAAAAAATATGTATACTTTTGTTGGATATATTTTAACTTTAAAACAGTTTACATTGTTTGTTGTGTTTTTTTTTTTCCATGTACTGTTTTGCTGTCTGTCTTATAAACTAATTTTCCAAATACCTTACAGGAAATACAGTGTAAATGAAAATTCATTGTAATTGGTAGTGTGATGCTGGTATAAGAGTCACCCATCAAAAAGTAGCCCCAATAAGGAAAATCCAGTATAATTTTTCATAGAAAATACTGTAATTAAAGTGTTTTTTTCATTCCCTTTAATTTTCTTGAGTGAATAAATTGTCAATCTTGGCTTGATGTATAAATGAATGAGCTATATTATATTGTTCCCTACAAGAAATCGGTGAGCATCCACACTGCCATACACTTACTTATGTCCATTGATACACAGGGATTGCTTTTCGAATGATTCTGAAGAAAACCTGACGAAAGGGGCATACATAGAGGAATATCTTTTTTTTTATGTATTTTTATAGAGTAGTTCACAGACATACATGCGTCCTTTGATTGGAAATGCAGTTTGAATTCCCAGAAATTCTCACTTTAGCAAACAATCCAGGGCCTATGCTGCGTGGATATTGACAATGTAAGTATTGAATTCTCTATTGTTATATTTTCAATAAAAATGTAGAGATTAAAAAAATAACCCTTACAGTATTACATTTATCAGAATGTTGACACGCCACTATTAAGTTCTTCTAATTAGCCACATTTTAATATTCCAACTAAATCAGGAATTATCAGGAACTGACCAACGAATTTCAAATTCAAGACTAATTAGCTGTCCTGGGGACATAGCAGCTGATTTGCATAATAATTAGAATTTGATTATTTTGGCCAAAGACTTGCCAACAATTTTCAGTTTCGTAAATAATACAAACAGTGTTTTGTACATCTTTTGCTAAACAATATGCATCTTCTGGTCAGCATCAAAGCATCAAATGTTTTTTCTCATTTTTTTTATTGCACCACAATTTACAGGAATTTGCCAGGCAATCTCTATCCAGAATGAGGAATTGCAATCCCATATGCCTATTGACCCTTTCAACTTTCAAACATTCATACTGCATAAAAAAATGTTCACTGGGAAATCTGTGGCAAATCTTGCTCTACAACATCTAATCTTAAACCTTGTGTGAAGTTAGATGACAATAATCTAGATTTGTGCACAGGGAGAAAATTCAGCATTGCCGAACGATTTTTTCTGAAAACAGAAAATGCTTCCATTTGACCAAATCAAAAGAAAGGGAATACCGAACTCTTACTTAGATCCCAGTTCTACCAGACCTAGGGCTGGCTGCCCCAACCATAATAGTTGAAAAACATTGTGGTCCAGGCACTCAAGGGTCAATTATGCAGCAGATTTATTTGGAATTATTATTATTATTTGTGCTACATTTCAATCTCCAAGAGATCTTTCAAGCTAGCTTGAGAAAGATCTCTTGGAGATTGAAACGTTGCACTTTTTCCAAATTAATTTGCTGCCTAATTGACCCTTGAGTGCCTGGACCACAATTTTGTTCATCCATTTGACCAAATGTCAGTTCGTCTCAGTAGAATTTCGGTACCGAAAACAGATTTGGAATCAAATCAGGCGAACCAAAAGGGTGCAATCTTGTACTGCAAAATATTATTTATTTCTTTCGCAGAACACTGATAGGAGCATTTCCCTGCCATTTGGTTCACAGAACAAGTGAGAAAAAGTAACCAATACATGGAAAAACAGGAGGAGCAGTAAAATAAATAAATAAATAATATATATATATATTTATTAAATATATATAGCATTTTTTTTTTTTTTACCTCTCACTTGATCTGTGAATTAAATTAACAGTTTGTAATTGTACCTTATCCTTCAATCATATTTATTTCTACTAGCAATCATCTCTGTATTGCGGCCACAGGTGGAATTCAGAATCTCAAACAGAAACAAATATATTTGGCCATTGCGTGTTGTGACTGGTTCATCATTTGGGTACATTTTGGCTCAAAGTAAGGGGATTCGGTTGATTACCCAACCTGTCCATAATGAAAATAAATCTCCAAGTCGATAAGAATAATCGTGTCTGTAAGTCCACCTACATGTCTGTAAGTCCACCTATTGTACAGCTCTGAGTAATTTGTTGGCACTTTAGAAATAATAATAATAATAATAATAATTTTATCTAAAATCTGATTGCTGAAAATGACATATGACTCGTCAGAATTAGAGATTTCAAGTCACCACAATAGTCTGATTATAAAATCATACATTCAAATATACTAAAATACTGGCTCTGAAGACCAGAATTCTTAAAGTTTTGGGAAATTCTTACAATTAGAGAGTAAGTTCCATATTGTAGCAAATCAGAATCCGAATGGTAAACTTCAAGCTAAAAAAGCTAATGCGGAAAAAATTTCCATTTTGGCTATGTGCACAGCTGTCACGCACTGCCGTGTACTCACCCGCTCCTGAGCGCCTGTGGCGTCCTCGTGGTAGAGCCACGGCTCTCACCGCTCTCCAAGCCTCCTCTCCTGGGTCTGTGGCAGTTCCCTCTCTCCCTCTTGCCGCCGAGGTGTGCATGTTCTGGACACGGAGGGGGAGGAGAGCTATGGATATGGTGAGGGAATGCAGGTCAGGGACTGTGATGTAAGCCAGGATGCAGCTGAGTGCCTGACCTCCTTTTATAGACCCTGCTTGC